GAAATAGTGCATCTTGCAGTACATTATCTAGACCATCTATTTTCAATATTTTCATATGTTTATAGATCTACTTGATTTTAACTATTTTTTGAGTTTGAAATTTTATAATTAGAGATAAAAATATATTTTAACATGATCCTAAGGATTTTTTACATCAAAATTACACGTTATGATAAAATTTGGAGGTGCGCCTTAACTGGATTGTTTAAGGTTGCAACCTTCTAGAAACGACACCCTTTATATATTCATTGAATACCAAGTTTTCAACAGAAACGTCGGGATAAAGTTACAGCAGAAAAACAAACAATTACAAAAAAACTTCAAAACTAACTACCTGCAAGAGTTAAATCCTAACATCTTTCAACAATTAAACTCTCCTTAAGAGCACCCCGTTTTGAAGGGCCATCAACCTCCACAGTACTTCTTTTGTAAACATTTCTAATAACATACTCCATATCCTTGCAACAATCGCTAACTTCACTGATTAAACTATGGAATCTCCAAGGATAAGCAGTTTTCTTCTTTATCCACTTAACTATATTAATAAAATCCCCTTATACTTCCACAGGTTTTTGAAAATCTTTCACTAACTTAACCCTTGAAGCATTGCTCTAAGTTCAGCCTCATTTGCGGTCATCGTCCCTACTGGTCCACAATACCTCAGTAGCATGTTACCTTCCCAATTTCTAATAATACCTCCCACACCAGCATGTCCAAGATTCCCCAATAAACAACCATCAAAATTAAGGTTATCCCATCCAAGCTTTAGGCATTCCCGTAAACCTATCCTAACATTCTTCACCGATCTCTCTTATTATTACATTGAGATTATACATCATATCCATTTTAGAGATCCTCACCACTCTTTGTTTATGGACAAAAATTCAGCAACCATCACTCTAATTTTTTCTATCAATTCTACAAATGATTGGCTTTTACTATCAAAACGTCTCTTATTTATTTCTTTCCGTATCTCCCAAACTACCATAGCCCTTACAGTTTTCCAAATATTCTCTTTCTTACTGATCCTAGTTGTCAACCAATCTCCAAGCAATTCATCAATCCCCCTTGGACCATTACCGCTGAAACCTACCCAAACTAGCAACCTTTTCCACATAGCTATAGCATAAGGACATTTAAGAAAACGATGGTCAACTGATTCAGCCTCCTTCTTGCACAGAATACATACATTCACAATAACTTATCATTTTTTACTTAACATATCAATAGTCAAAATTTTGCATAATTTGAGTAACAACAAAAAGGCCTTAATCTTCAATGGAACATGCCATTTCCATAGTTTACCTGCATCTTTATCAGTCCATCTAGTATCTTATATGCTGAGCTCAATGTAAAGGAACCATTTCTGCTAGGTTCCCATACTATTCCATCTTGCAATTCAGGGTAGTAATAAAATTGTTGTAAGACATTTAAGCATTGCACATACTCATCAATAGCAGTTTCATTAACCCTTTTATATGAGCAGTTTATATTCCAATTTAAAGAAAAACCTCTGCCTTTTGCCATACAACTTTTGGAATTTGTTTTAACAAACAAATTAGGAAACTGAATTTTTAGAGCACACTCCTATCCATTTTTGCTGCCAAAATCTAATAGTGTCCCGTTCCCTACTATCCTTCTTGAATTACTAAGGAAAGAAACTCTATAAGCCAATAGACCTTTTCAAATATATGATATGCCCTTTTTATTTGCCCTTTCTGCCACCAAACGAAGTTCCTTATCTTCACAATATTTCTCTCCAAGTATTCTCCACCATACGAAGTTCCTTTTTCATTTGCACATCTCCACCACCACTCGGTGAGTAACGCACTATTCATAATTTTCAAAACTTTTAATTTCCATTCCCCCATCATAAATTAGGGTACACACTTTTGACCATTTCACCAATTATATTTCTTCTTCTCCTCATCTCCTTCCCCCCCCCCTCTCCCCCCAATAGAAACTCTCATAATAGCCTCCAATATTTTTACAATCTTACTAGGCATCTTAGACGAAGGCATATAATAAATGGGTAAATTTGACAATGCAACTTTAATTAGAGTTATACGACCCCCCAAAGATAATAATTTGAATTTCCATAGGTCTAATTTGCATTGCATACGTTAGATCAAACATTCTCACAATGCTATGGATCTAGTATTGTCAAATAGCGGCAAACCAAGATATTTCAAAGGAAAACAGTTGTTTCCACAACTCATCTTTTCAGCATACTTCTACACCTTTCGTTCATCACAAGCTACTCCTATCAACTTTGTTTTTTGAATATTCACCTTTTGTCCAGTAACTACCTCAAAAAGTCTAAAAAAAACTCTTTAGGTTTTGTATTTTCATCGTATTTGCACCACAGAAAATTAATGTATCATCTGCATATTGCAGATGTGATATCACTGTCCCATCAGTTTTAACTTTAAAACCTTTCAACGTCCCTAATTGTACCACCAAAAAACATCACACTGAAAATCTCTTCTATAATAGTGAATAGAAAAGGGGAAAGAGGATCCCCTTGCCTAATTCCTTTTAGAAGCTTTAACGAAGCCTTTTGGCTTACCATTTATAAGGATAGAAAAATGTGTGGTTTCCAAACATTTCACCAAAACCCATAGCACTCATGGTCTTTAAAAGCACATTTCATTCCACCTTATCATAAGCTTTCTCAAGCTCTATTTTACATACAATTCCAGCTTCTTTTTTAGAGCTAATAACTTATTGTGCACATATAATACTGTTTGTAATTTGCCTATTATGTATAAAAGCTGATTAGGGTCCTTTAATCATCAAAGGTAGAACTGATTTAAGTCTTCTAATAAGACACTTAGCAAGGATCTTATACAAACTAGTCAAATACTAATCGGTCTAATATCCTATAGGTTTTCAATCATACCTTTTTTGGGGATTAAAGCAATAAAAGAAGAGTTTAAACTTAACATTTACAATACCCGTATGATAGAAATCTATAACCATATTTATAACTTCAATTTTTACAAGGTCCCAATGCTGCTGGAAAAGCCACAAAGGAAACCCATAAGGACTTGGTGCTTTATCCCCATCCAAGTTAAACACAACTTCTTTAATTCAGTTTCGAAAACTGTCTTTCAATACAATCTCTCTTATCAACTGGTAATTTGTGAAAAAGGTACATTGCTGAAATTAATATTTGGTAGACTACTTTCAGTAAAGGCATTAAAAATGCCTAATGATAGCTTCTTTTAATTCTTTCTCATCCCCTTCTATGACCCCTTTAATTTTTAGACCTTGAAGACTATTAACACATTTCATAGCATTCTCAGTTGTATGGAAAAAATGTGTGTTCAAGTCTCCCTCTTTTAACCATCTAACTCTAGAACATTGTCTCCATTGAACCTCCTTTGCCCTTAACCATTCATCTATCTATTCAATTCATTCCTTGTATATATATCTTCCATTTCAATATTTTCAGTCTGTCATTCTTTCATATCCAACTCATGAATTTTTGACATAATTCCCTCAATATTTGCCTTATAATTAATTAATCATATTTTTCTTTTTGCAGTCCACCAGTTCATGACCAAACCAATCATGTATACCATTCCTATTCCAAGCTTCAGTAATCAATTTGGAGATTGATTTATCTTTCAACCATCCCATTTCAAATTTGAAGTTACCCCGATCTAGCCTTCTAGATTCACTTTCCCACAACAATGGTACATGATCAGAAGAACATTTAGGGAGAGCTCTAACTGATCCCTGAGGAAACACCTCAGCTAATCCTGGATTAACAAGAAACCTATCTAGCCTTTTCATAATAGGATTAACAACACATTCATTAGACCAAGTAAATCTCGCCCCACATGCAAGAAGATCTAACAAAGCATAGCTAGAAATAAAATCCGAAAAAGCTCTCATACATGCAGTAATACGATGGTCAATATTAGATTCAGACATCCACTTGATAATATTGAAGTCCCCCCCCAATTACCCATGGCATCTGAAACACATTTCCCACACATGAAAGCTCATTCAATATCACTAGTCTATTACTAGAAGAATTAGGACCATACACAGTTGATACCACAGACCGAATACCAGCATAGATAAGCAAAAATACACAAGATAAAGACCATTCATTCACACTAAATCATTCACAACTAAGAACAAAAGGGTCTCAAACTGTCCATAGACCCCTTGACAAAACATAACATGCCTAGATCCCCAAATAGCTTTAATATCATACAAATTTGGATT